GAATTCAGCCTTTTTGGGAGCCAGGACAAGGACCTGAGGCAAGATCACCCCTGAGGCATCACTGCCCCTTCCACAGCAGAGACTTCCCTCCTCTTTACAGAACACTTTGCAACCCACTGACAAGTTTTGTTGCTGCTCTGGGTTGCAGCATCCTCTCTTCAGGTCTTCATGGACTGAAATCATCTCATGGGGACACCTTCCAGTAGCTCAGATTGCTCCAAGCCCCATCCAACCTGGCCTGGAACACTCCCAGGGATGGAGCAGCCACAGCTGCTCTGTCCAACATCTTCCTAAAGCTTCTCACTTGGAGACACAACCACCAGCACTAGGCCCTAGAGAAAAATTAAGGAGTTCTAAACCAATTCCACATTCAATGTTTATTTACCTGTAATCCAAATAGAAACATGTACCCCAATCTCACCTGAAAGTTCTACCCAGATTGGTTGAAATTAAAAAAAACAAACCCCTACAGAACATTCTTTCATCATCTGACAAGTTAAAAAGCTGCATTGGAAAATCATTCTCAGTAGCCTGTCAAAACAAGTGACATTTTACTGGCAGGAGCATCTGCAACTTCTACCAAGGAGAAGCAAAGTTCTCAAGCAACAGCAGCATTGTACAATCAGTTGCTTAGCATAAAAGAGGTTTATGATAGGACAATTTTTTAAAAATCAGGTTTTTTTCCCTACTGAAAGGAGTAAAAATCATGAAAAAAACAATCCTCAAGTCCACTTCAGGGAGGCACAGACTCCACACTTGTTGGTAAAGCCAGTTTCAAGGAAGACTCTCTTTGGCCACAGACTACTCCACTAGGAAGGTCCATCCAGCATCTGGGATCCAGGAGTGCAGTTTGACATCCTTTTGAGGCCAAAAAAAGGTGCATGTTGCTTACGGAGACAAAAGAAAAACACAAGTGAAAAGCAGTTTGAAATGTTGGGACACACACACACAAACACAAATACCCTATCCATTGCCTAGGGATCCATGCATGATCCTGAGAGATGAGCTCCAGAAAAAGAAAAGGAGGGTTCTTTTGGGTCAATGTGCAAGGTCTTGGTTGAGAAGTTACTCAATACTTACTGCAGGGAGTGGAAATGAAGAGGAATAATTCAACTAGCATCAGATCAGAGCTGAATTTGAACCTGTAATTCCTAACAGAGCATCCCAGATGTCTGTAGCTGTTGGTAATTCCAACTGAAATAATCCTTGGAAACATTAACAACATCTTCAACATGAACTGAAAGGCATCAAAAGATGGTGAGGTATGAGAGCAACAAACTGCTCTGAGTGCTGAGACTTTCACTAAGTACCTCGGAATCTCCAACTATTTCTTTGCCATCTCACTCTGAGGAGCTGGAAAACTTGCAAATGTGTATTGGGAACAAACCATTCTGATACAAAGAGAGAATGAAGAGTTTCATCCAAAGAAAGGACCAAACCCCTCAAACATCAGATTTGCCTACAAGCAAACCATGTGGCTGTTTTCTCCCTCCCCTTCCAAGACCTGAGGCTGCAGACTGAATCCACAGGAACCCAAAAAGCAAAGGACTAAGAGGCAAAACAACTTCATGTACACAGCTGGATTCTGCTGTCTGGCGTTGTCCTGGGATAGCACCACCACAAAAAGGTTGGCCACAGCCTAGTGAAACTGGACAAACTCCTCCAGAGTTCTGGGGATCTGGTTTTGGTAGGTGATGTTGTAGATCCTCACGGCACGAGCAGCCAGGCACTTGAGACTCAGCTTCATTTGAGTTTTAAGGAGGATTTCAGACACCCCAGTGGTGCTTTTATCCAGAGGGGTCTTCTTCTGCTTGTTGGTCATGTCTGTGTGAGCACCAGCCTCCACCAAGCTAATGATGATGGAATGCAATGTCAAGAAGTCGCTGATGGGTCGGTGGTACTGGACAATGATGTGGAGGGGGCTGTTCCCCTCATTGTCCACAGCATTCACATCAGCACCACAATCCAGCAGCAGCTTGGTGACCAGGGAGTTGGGAAAGCTGCAGACATCATTGGTGTGGAAGTCGTCAACTGGAGTGCTGGAATTGACAGCATGATGCAGCAAACTGGAGCCATCCCTGGTCCTGGGGTCCAGGTGGATCAGGTTGTAGATCTGCTTGTTGATACGTGACTGATCCTCCTCACTGCACTGGGTCTTGGTGGAGATGCAGACCAAGTACAGAAAGGTGAAGATGTTGCACTCATAGTTGTCCATGGCTGTGTGGATGTCAGAGTCTTGGGTGGTTTTGATGCGGGACATGCCTTGTTCAATCTCCAAGACGCTGCACCGCAGGACACTCTCGATGTCCTTGGCCTTGACAGGCTCATTTAAGTGTATCATCTGGGAGAAGACCTGAGCAAACCTCAGGAGGTCTTTATGGGTGTTCCTGTTGCCTTTCTGCCTTAGGTGCAAGGCATGGAGCCACAGCTTGATGCACTGCTCAAACTCCATGTTATCAGCATACACTGCCCCCCGGTAAATAATGGGGTGGGACACATCGATATTGTCTGAGCCCAGAATCCTCTCCCTCACAATCAGCCCTTCCATGTGAAGGGCATCTCTGTCCTGCCTAATAGACTCTAGTTCCTGAGGGGTCCTGCATTCAGTCCTGCTCCCATAAGCTTCAATCTGTGGAAGAACCTCCTTCTCGATGATGTTCTCACTATCTCGGTACCTCTCCAGCATTGCTAGGTATAAATAGTGGTAAGTCTTCAGTATATCATAGTTCTCTCTATCGTTAGCAAATGAGGCACCCAAAAGCTCCAGAGCTTCAATCCTGCTCCTCCTATCACAATCCACATGAGCAAGGAGCAGCTCCACCACGTCAGCTTTGCAGCTCTCGGCAGCGACCTTCAATGGAGTCATCCCGTGGCCGTTGACCATCATGGCTGCCTTCCACTTGACCAGCTCCCTCACGATCTCCAAGTGCCCAGCCTCAGCTGCAAAGTGCAAGGCTGTGGCTCCACAGTGGGCCTTGGCATTGGGGTCAGCATGCTGCTCCAGGAGATACCTCACCACGTCCGTGTGGCCCTTGTACGCAGCGATCATGAGGCAGGTGTTGTCGTACTTGTTGGCTATGCTGATGTTGGCATTGTTCTCTACCAGGTATTTGACAATGTCCAGCCTGCCATCGAAGCAGGCTGCCCTCAGAGGGGTGGAGTTGGTCACTGTAGTGTGGTTGACGTTGGCTCCGTGGCTCACCAGCAGCTTGACCACCTCGAAGTGACCTGCTCCGGCCGCACACCACAGAGCTGTGGCTCCATCGATGACAAAGCTGGAAAGGGGAGGACAGAAAGAAGAGGTTATGCTGATATTCTTCCAGAAAGCATCTCAAAAGAGTCAACATGTCAGGCACACAACCCCATTAACAGGTATCTTTGAGTCATCCCATTCCTGTACCTGAATAAATCACCAGGTGAGTCACATGGTGAAAGAATGAGCACAAAGGCATCACGAAGGAAGGAGTGTTGGGAGTTGAAGCTTCAAAGCAGCCAAAGGATTTGGCCACATGTCCACTAGCACTTCCCAGGCTGCTTTGAAGATCCCACCCACCATCTCCAGCCTTCAGCCCAGGGAGGTCTGGGAAGAAGAGGTGCAAGAATTATCAATTCTTTGATGCCTTGTGCCAAACTGATATATTAAGTGACATATTAAGGTCATCAAGTTGGACTTGATGATCCTAAAAGTCTCTTCCAACCTTCAATGAAAAATGCAAGAAAACACCTAAAACGGATATATCGACCTAAAAAACCCAAACTCAGACACACAGTTAGCATTTGGACAACACTCTCACGCCATGGAGTGATTCTTGGGGTGTCCTGGGCAGGGCATGGAGTTGAACTTAGATGACCCTTGTGGGTTCCTTCTAACTCAGGATATTCCATAACTAGATCAGCCCTGGCAGCAAAGATGGCTTAGAGGTTTCCTATCCCATTCTGGTTAGACAAATCAAACTCCAGGAATAAAATACATCTTAAAAAAGCAGAAGTTTTTCCAAGCTTGACTGTTCCAGAGCCCCAGTTTTACTGTGGCCTTGCAGACAGAAATGAGGGGACAGGTCACTGTTCCATGAGCTGTTTTCATTCCCCAGCCCAGCACATTGTGGAACTTCAGAGATAAAGGCTGATGTGCTTCCCATTCCCATTCTGAAGCAGGATTTAAATGCAGGAACAGGCAGAAGTTCATACAGGCTCAAGGCACATTCCAAATGACAGAGGAGGGACAAATATGCTTCCCAGAGTTAAAATACCAGCTTCATTCTAACTTGAACACTAATTTTTAACAGTTGTTAGGAGCTGCAGTGACAGGACAAGGAGTAATGGGGAGGAATTGAGAGAGGGAAAGTTAGGAAGGAGTTTTTTGCTGTGAGGGTGGTGAGACACTGTCCCAGGTTGCCCAGGGAGGCTGTGGCTGCCCCAACCCTGGCAGTGTTCACAGCCAGGTTGGATGAGCCTTGAGTAACCTGCTCTGGTGGGAGGTGTCCCTGCCCAGGGCAGGGGTTGGGGCTGGGGGATCTCCAGGTCCATTCCAACCCCTTAACAATCTATGATGAAGCTCTTTCATAGCACAACAGGAACAATTACGGCTGTTTGTAAATCCAACACCTCCAAGCAACACTCCTGTTTAAAAGTTCTCTGAGCTGCAGGGGGAATTCACAGCAAGAAATCATTTATTTTGTAAGTAATCCCATGAAAACGCTTTTCCATTAAAGCGGGAGGAAATCAGGGGCTAAGATTGGTTAGGAACACGAGGTAATTCAGTGGGGCACAAGTGAAATCCCAGAGGCCAAACAAGGGGAGCTGCTGTGCCACCTTATCTGAGGCACCACAATCCCTCGGGATCACATGGCTCCTCTCCTCTGCCACTGCACCCATTGTGCCTCAGACAACACCTCCTTTAATCTGGGCCAGGCAGAGGCTCTGGCAAGCACATCAACACCCCAGCAAGGCACAAATTCAGCAGCAGAGCAGCTGCTGCCTGTCAACAGAAGCTCTTCCTCAGGCTGGATCTGGGGCAAACCTCACCCAAGGAATTTGCAACCAGTTTCTGCTTGGGAAAAGAAAAGGTTGGGAGGGAAAAGGAAGAAAACAACCAAACTAGAAGGGGAAGTGGGTTTCTCCCCCTGCACTGAGGCAAGGTGGAAATGCACAGGTCACTCCTGCTCCACAGGAGCTCCACAGGTCCAGCTCCAGTTCAGCAGATGGAAGACACCTGCAGGGACTCATCACAACCCTCTTGATAGGTGTCTCTGTGAGCTCTTCTCCCTGTGCCAAACACCTGCAGGACCTGAAGCTGTTCCAAACAGCTTCAGCATTACTCAGCCTCATGTTTAATGCTGATGTACTGGGGAGAACTCGATGAGCACTGTGGGAGATCTAAAAACAACACAGCACTGGGGACGTGGACATCACAGGAGGCTTCTCCCCACACAGTGACACCAGATCTGGTGCCCTGCTGGGTCCCAACTGAGGGCCTGGCACCCTCTTCCTTCCCTTCCCATCCTGAAATGTCACATTTACCTCCTGGCCATCCCACATGTTGGCTACCAGCAGTGAGGAAGGGATGAGGCTTGGGATGTCTGGGCTGGACACTGAAAACCCCTCAGTTTGGGTAAACAAAGGGCTGAGTCCTGGTGTGCAAGGTACCAGCACGCCATGATCCAACTCCTGGTGTGCAGGGACCACCCTGCCCTGATCCAGCTCCAATTAACCCCAATCCAGCTCCAGGTCTGCAGCTACCACCCTGCCCTGACCTCCAGATGTGCAGGGACCACACTGCCCCGATCCACCTCCAGATGTGCAGGGACCATCATGCCCTGACCTCCAGATGTGCAGGGACCACTCTGCCCTGATCCAGCTCCAGGTGTGCAAGTATGAGCCTACCTTGATCCAACTCAGGTAACCCTGATCCAACACCCTACCCCAACCCCATACCTGCTGTCACCTGCAGCCCCAAACACCATCACAGAAAGGCCACTTTGGCCCAGCAAGCAAGAACACAAGAAAACCTCCTCACCAAGGGGAAACCCTTTGGGCTGTGGGGACTATCTTATCCACAAATGAGAAATCTTGGCTTTACAGCTCATAAAGCTTCAGGTGGGACCTCCACTCACACAGGCATCTGTAGGGTTGTGCAGGAGCTCCCAAGCAGCACTGGGGAGGGATACAGGGCACCAGGTGGGATCTCTAACCACCAAGACATCTGTAGGGCTGTGAAGGAGCTCCCAAGCAGCACTTGGGGGACATAGGGGACCAGGTGGGACCACCAACCACACAGGCATCTCTAGGGCTGTGCAGGAGTTCCTAAGCAGCACTGAGAGGGACATGGGGCACCAGGTAGGATCTCTAACCACAAAGACATCTGTAGGGCTGTGCAGCAGCTCCAAAGCAGCACTTGGGGGAACACAGGGCAGCAGGTGGGACCTCCAACCACACAGGCATCTCTAGGGCTGGGAAGGACCTCCCCAACAGCAGCTGGGAGGGCACAGGGCACCAGGTGGGATCTCTAGCTATGAAGGCATCTGTAGTGCTGTGAAGGAGCTCAGGGGTGGCAGAGGGCAGCAGGTAGGACCTCGAACCCACAAAGACATCTGTAGGGCTGTGCAGGAGCTCCTAAGCAGCACTGGGGTGGCAGAGGGCAGCAGGTAGGACCTCGAACCACACAAGGCATCTGTAGGGCTGTGCAGGAGCTCCCAAGCAGCACAGGGAGGGCAGAGGA